GGCGAAGGACCTGGTACGGACGCGGCGCTACGTGAAAAAGTTCATCACCATGAGGGCCAACGTCCAGGCCGTGTCCCTCAAGATCCAGACCCTCAAGTCCAACAACTCCATGGCCCAGGCAATGAAGGGCGTTACCAAGGCCATGGCCACCATGAACCGGCAGGTAGGTGCCCGTGGGGATATCCCTAAGGCTGTGGGCACTCTGAGATGCTCCATGGGGATTTTGCCAGGGCAGTGACCACCATGAGCTGCCCTGGGGTGGCCACGGGGATGTCCTTGAGAATGTGGCCACCAGGAGCTGCCCTGCAGTTGGTGTGAGGACACCCCAAAGCCTGTGGCCACCACAAGCTGCCCCAGGGGAGACCCACAAGGCTGTGGCCACCACAGGTTGCCCTGAGCTGCCCATGAAGATGTCCCCAAGGCCACGGCTACCACCAGCTGCTTCAGGGGGACATCCTTGTTGCCATGGCCACCCAAGCTGCTTGGGGTGGCCGTGAAGATGTCTGTGAGCTGGCCAAGGGGATGTGCCTAAGGCTATGGCCACCAGAAACCACCTGAGGTGGGCATAGGGACGTCCCCAAGACTGTAGCCACCAGGAACCACCCAAGCTGGCCATGGGGACATACCCAAGGCTGTAGCCACCATGAAGTGCCCAACACGGTCATGGGGATCCGACGTGCTGTATTCCTGTGCCCCTCCAGCTGAAGCTGCCGCAGATCCAGAAGATCATGATGGAGTTTGAGAAGCAGGCGGAGATTATGGACATGAAAGAGGAGCTGATGAATGATGCCATCGATGACGCCATGGGGGACGAGGATGATGAGGAGGAGAGGTGGGGGACACATGGGGGACAGGGATGTGGTGGTGTGGGCACAGTGAGGAGAGGGGGGGTTGTGGGGGATGGGGACACGGGTGGAGGACATGGGGGGACGCGTGGGAGAAGGACGTGGTGGGACAAGGACAGAGGAGATGGGGATGGGGGAGATAGGGACGGTGGGGACAGAAGGGGACAAGGGAACATGGTGGAATGGGACATGGGGGGACAAGGACATTTGGCTCTTGGACATGGGAGCACGGGGGGACAGAAAGGGAAGGTCATAATGGGATGTAGACTTGGTGGGACATGGACATGGGGGAGCAGGGACATGGTGGGGACACAAGACAAGATGGGGCAGGGGGTTGAGAAACATGGGGTGTCATGGAGGAAGAC